GTCTGACTGTTGTTTTATTCTAGTTCAGAAATTAACAAATAAAACTCAGACTTCTATAAAAAAATTTTTGGCTGTTTACAAGAGTACCATTTTAAGAAAGTGACATGGTACTGGGTTTTAAGTGGAAATTTCCTCTGACATACTAATGAGTTCCTTGTGATCCCAGATTATGTTGTGTCTTCATTAACTCCAAAAGTTGTTTAACAGTAGAATGAAGTTATTCTTCATCATTCCCAGAAGAAGAGGAACCAACTTCTCTCCCTCCAAAGCAGAGAAGTTTTTTTGTGGTAGTTTTCTGAGATTTTTTTTAAAACTTCTTTGACCAACCCTTTCCTTTTGGGAATTGCTCCCTCCTGTTGGGTGTTAATAGGACACAAACCTCACTGTCATTGTGGTGGCATGTGACCCAGGCCAGCCATGAGACTACGTCTCATCCCCTGGGCACAAAGATGGGGTTGAGGAGGACACATGGTGTGATCAGGAAAAATGGGAGTCCTTTGTCCGGACTGATACAGCAGTTCCTGAGACCATGCCATGTAAGCCTGCAGCAGCTGTAGGTAGCCCACCAGAGAATAAAACCCACCAGAAGAAAACCAAGCTGAGCAGCAGGGACAGAAATAGTCCTGATGGCATCAGTGAACTCTGAAACTAGTCAAAACCCCTCAGCTTCAAAGGAAATGCACCAATAAATTGTCTTCCTTGCTTATGCTGTTTTGAGTGAGATTTCTCTCTAAAATATTCACTTACAAAGTCACCCCCGCTGCACCCCCACTCCTAGTTCTGCTTACCGCCAACCCTCACCTCCACCCCTACCCCACACACCCGGGCCCCTGAGCCACCTCCACTGCACCCAGGCCTTCTCCACTCCCTCCCCCGACCCCCACCCTCATCCCCACTCTAGCTCCCCCACCCCAGCTCCCACCCGGGTGAAGAATCAAACCGCGCAGTGCTCGCGACCCCGAGCCTCTGTGATGAATGCGGTAAGTGCACCTGGTAGTCAGGAGCATCCCGAGCATCTTGGTGCTTGACATTTGCTGTTTCCTGACTCTCCTGTGCTCAGACGGGCTTAATTTCCAAAGACATTTTTAAGACTCCAAAATACATTTGGAGAAAATAGGAAAAGATGTAGCAAAATCTCAAGCATGACGTACTCTAGAGTGTGGGCCGGCTGATGTTTCAAAATTAGGTAAATGTTTGGATGCATCCTTATTCATCTCTTAGTGTATTATTTGCTTAATACATGTAGATTTTTTTTAGAATGCTTAGTAACTTGGCTTTTTTTGGGAGAGGTAGTTTTTAGGAAGAGTAAACACATCTAATTTAGTTTTGCTATTGAGAACTGTAAAAGATAAAATTCGTATTTATCAAAATGATTGAATTCGAATGGTATGTAGTCACAAAATAATTATTTTTTTTCTCAAAAATATGTAGCAAAGATGTCTTTTTAACCTTTAGTACATTTGAAATACAATTCCATTCATCCTATTTTCTCAGATCTATATTTGAATCGTCTGACTGTTGTTTTATTCTAGTTCAGAAATTAACAAATAAAACTCAGACTTCTATAAAAAAATTTTTGGCTGTTTACAAGAGTACCATTTTAAGAAAGTGACATGGTACTGGGTTTTAAGTGGAAATTTCCTCTGACATACTAATGAGTTCCTTGTGATCCCAGATTATGTTGTGTCTTCATTAACTCCAAAAGTTGTTTAACAGTAGAATGAAGTTATTCTTCATCATTCCCAGAAGAAGAGGAACCAACTTCTCTCCCTCCAAAGCAGAGAAGTTTTTTTGTGGTAGTTTTCTGAGATTTTTTTTAAAACTTCTTTGACCAACCCTTTCCTTTTGGGAATTGCTCCCTCCTGTTGGGTGTTAATAGGACACAAACCTCACTGTCATTGTGGTGGCATGTGACCCAGGCCAGCCATGAGACTACGTCTCATCCCCTGGGCACAAAGATGGGGTTGAGGAGGACACATGGTGTGATCAGGAAAAATGGGAGTCCTTTGTCCGGACTGATACAGCAGTTCCTGAGACCATGCCATGTAAGCCTGCAGCAGCTGTAGGTAGCCCACCAGAGAATAAAACCCACCAGAAGAAAACCAAGCTGAGCAGCAGGGACAGAAATAGTCCTGATGGCATCAGTGAACTCTGAAACTAGTCAAAACCCCTCAGCTTCAAAGGAAATGCACCAATAAATTGTCTTCCTTGCTTATGCTGTTTTGAGTGAGATTTCTCTCTAAAATATTCACTTACAAAGTCATAAAAGATTCTTCTATGATTTATGGTTTGAAAGGAATGTAACCAATGAGTTCTAGCTTTTCTATTGCCTAAATTACGTTTTGGATAATAAAGTATATGCCAAAGAGGTCACTTAGAAGGAAGCCCTAACTTTTCATATGATTAAGGTTCCCAGTTAGGGAATTACTACTGCCCAGTATAGATTTACTATCTGCACATAGCCTTTACCAAAACCAAAACTAAAAAAATAATAAAAGATTTGGTAGAGAACCAGAGAGAAAATAATAAAACAACAAAACCAGAACCTCCCAGTAAATTTTTTGTCTTATCAATTACTCCATTAAAACTTGCTTTTATAATCTTTAATGTGCGCTGATATAGGACATTTCTTTTTTTGAGGACTAAAAGTTTTAAGGACTGTTACAGACTTTAAGGGACTGTTGAAATTAGTTTGTTGTACTAGAATTTTATCGTGTTGTCTGTTGTTCAGGGGATGTGGGATATTGGCCTATGCTTAAAATTCTTTTGTTTCTCAGAGATTTTCATCTTAAAAGTAAATAACAATATTTGACTAGTACCCAAACAAGCATCTATGCGCTAATCAGTGTGTGACTTAACCATTACTCACAGGTCACTGTGAATGGTGGGATTCGAGCAGGGGACTGGGACCAAGAACATGAAGTATTAGTCACTCCTGATTGCAGGATTGGTTTCTTATGGGAAAATGTGACATTGAGAAGGTACGAGTTCAGAGTCTCCGCTAGTCTTTCTCCAGATGGGTACACTTCCAGTCTTGTCAACAACTAGTGAAATTTCAAATGTATAAAAGCCATGAGCTGAATAGTCGTATATCATAAACAGATGTGAGCCCCACAGAAGGCAGGTATAAGGAAGTGCATCTCTGGAAACATGACAGGGCAGCTTAGGAGGAAAAGTCAAGACAAAGGAGTTCTGGAATCCAGGCTCAGCTCTGAGTGACACTTGTTTAAATGATTGGCTATGATTCCCCAGGAACAAATTCTGCTAAATGTCCAGAGTTTCCCCAACATCCACGTGGTGGGTCCCTGTGATGTCCGTGCCTGTTTGCTGGCTCTAGAGTTGAACAGCAACCTCTCAGTTAATCCAGGGTCACACAACCCTGTCTGTTTGGATCTCCCCCTGGAACCGTGGCATAAACTAGTGGTTTTCAAACCATGAAACAGAATCCCCTGAAGTGATCCTAACACCACCAGGTCTGCAGGTTGGAGGGAGGAAGGATGGCCAAGTGTATTTTTCTAAAAGTTCCCCAAGAGATTGTGGTGATGAGCCAGGGTTAAGGTAAATAAGGTCTGTGAATATGTGCTCTTCATTCCACAGAAAAAGACTTGAGAAACCCTGAACCCTCACTTCAGGCTCCATTGATTTACAATTGTATGTAAAATTAAAGGTATTGATTGAACAAGCTCAATTTGTCTTTTCCCCTTAACAGTCTTCAGTTCTTCTGAGGTTATTAAAAAAAAGCAGTGAGGAATGCACCTTAGCAGGAGCAGGAGGATATGCTAGAGGCAATCACACTGAAAAAGGACAGCTCAGGGCAAGGCCGAGATAAGAGAATTACTAATTAGAAAAGCATTGTCTGTTGCCAGACTAAGATGCCCTCCACCTTGGCCAGCACCAGAGGATTATCTCTTCTGGCTTGTTTCACAGTTTGTTGCATGTTCAGCTTGATGATCAGAAGGAAAACAACTGAACTATGTGCATGAATACGGATCTGCATCATTCAATGGACCAGAGGATTATCTCTTCTGGCTTGTTTCACAGTTTGTTGCATGTTCAGCCTGATGATCAGAAGGAAAACAACTGAACTATGTGCATGAATACGGATCTGCATCATTCAATGGCCCTTAACATAATATTGTGATCCCCACTTTATGAACAAGAAGTTCAGGCCGAGGGAAGGTCAGTGACATATTGAAGGTCACAGAGTCAGTAATTGGAGGATTTAAAGACTCTGAAGCCTTTATGTTTTTTTACCCTAAACCAAACATGGCTATGAATCACACAAAACATCTATCCATATCTGTGAGTGCAGCAGATAAAGGAGGTGGTGTCACTGGCACTCAGGAGTTGGCACTGGTGAAGGGAAGGGATCAATAACAAGGAATAACAAAGACTGTCCCCCACCCCGGCCCCCAGGAAGCCGAGACCATGGAGGACACACAGATACTGTCTCTTCAATTGAACTGAACTGAATCGAATTGATTTTCCTCTTCCGTTAACTCATACTGAACAGAATGAAAAATTTCCTGAGGATCTCTAGATTGCCAAATTACGTACAACAGGGTAATTATGCAGAGGGAGTTCTTTCCAGCTATAAAACCGATCTGTGCTTAAGAATTGAGATGCTGTGTCCACTTCTATGACATAATACATGATTTCTTGTTTCTATTTTTCTTGGGACTTTCACCTACATCCAGAGTTTTAAATATTTTGAAAGGATTATGCTCTCAGAATTTGCTTGCATTGCATGTGGACCATTAGGTTAATATAAACGCTTTCCGTATTCTCATAGACAATGTGAAATAAGGTACTAAATATGTGGACTGTTTTTAAATTACTGGTGGTAATGTGAGTTTAGAACCTTGGGCTACTTACTTACTAGAAATAAAATCCATCTATTTGGTGTGGAGCTCACTAATTCTCATTTTCCCTGGAATCAAAAATCAAAGGTGCCATGAATAACTGAAATTCCTTAATTTTATTCCAACCTCTTCCTAATTGAATATTAAACCAGTTCATTAGTAGCCAGAAAAATGAACTAAAAGAGCTTTTCTCCTCCTACCTACATTATGTAGCAGACATGCTAATGAGCAAATTGGGTAACAAGCAGGAGAAAACAAGGGGTAATTGAATATTAAACCAGTTCATTAGTAGCCAGAAAAATGAACTAAAAGAGCTTTTCTCCTCCTACCTACCATTATGTAGCAGACATGCTAATGAGCAAATTGGGTAACAAGCAGGAGAAAACAAGGGGTAAAGGACAAATAGGGAATATGAAGTCTCTGAGCCACAGATGGTACCAATACATAATAACCATTTTCCTCTATTTAAAAACATGTTCAGAGTAGGTGCACAGACTTGTAAGTTTTAGGGTTCAATGTGTATTTTGCCTGTGCTTTTTAAAATGTGTATATTATGATTTCTAAATGTTTGGTAAAGATATATTCAGAATTTCATGGAGGCATTCTATTATGTAGTCATGCCATATTAATCTGAAGGATGAGCAATGGTATTTCTGACATTTGTAGAAATCACCTGCAAATCATAGGGAAATTTTAACAAAATGCCCAGAGTGCCTTCTGCACAGATGTGTGTTCCAAGTCCTTCACCCACTCATTCCTGCCTCACTCATTCTGTAACTAAATCTCTCATTCTCAATGTTTCCACTCGTGCATCTGGTCATTCCCATCTCACCTGCGTTCAGTCCAGTAGCTTTCCCAGTTAAATGTGTAATCACACAGCCAGTCAAGCATGATCTTTATTGCCTCTTCTATGATTATTCTTCCATTACCCAAATTGGTAAAAAACAATCTTTTAAGCAATAGTTCAGTGACTCCAAATCATTTTTTTTACTCACAAATTACACATATCTTTAATGTTCTACTAGGTGTGACCTCCAGCAGCCAAGACTTCTAAGTAGATATCTTTTTAGAACATCAACATTTGCAAATTCCCAGCTAGTTTGTCACAGAGGGGAATGGGGCAGAGGAATGCCAGAGAGAGAAGGATAGGAAAAGACAGAGTGGGGGTGGAGAGAGCCACTTGACTTCTCATCTCATTGTCCCAAAAGCTTAGTCTAAACTCTACTAGAGAACGTACAGGAAGACTAAATCATGTTATACTGAAATCCTTTGTAAAAACATCAGCATATGTTGCCATTTTGGTGTTTCTGACAGAAGTGTGGATACACACTCAGTCAGCAACGTATAACTCCAACATTTACTCATATGCAGTCTTCTTCTGACAGCTTCTACTTCCTGTTTAGTTGTTAGCTTGAAGTTTTATGCTAAGTAATAAGAAAAATTTTAAATATTAGTACAATTTTCTTATAATCATAAAGAGTAATAATCTCTTATACATTTTGGATTGGCTGGATTCCCAAACTCTTAATTGTGCAGTTATTAGAAGGTCTTCCTATGTTATGTTGGATTAGATGGCTTATTTCTCAGAACTCAAATTGCACTATGTACTAATAAATTATCTAACACAAAATAAATCCCTTAATAATAAATATGGTCTTGGGTAGCTCCTTATTAATCTCTCCAGACTGTAAACTACATGAGAATAGGAGATGTAGCTAACCCCTCTTTGAAATTTCCCACTTGGCAAAATCAGAGCAGCTCACAAAGTTTCATGAGATACTTACTGAGATAAATGCACATTCTGATGGTGTGTCACTTTTTATATATGGACTTCTTATCCCTAGGAACTGGTATGGAGCATCTGCAATGCAGCATTTCCTGCATGATCGAGTCCTGAGCACAGGATATGCTATCATCCTGGAGAAGCCCCTAATCTGAGTATGCTACCAACAACGACCTGGGCATCTTTCCCACCAGGGTACACACCTCAGAATTCAGGAAAGAACAGAAATGAAGGGTGACAGGAAGATCTAATTGTCACTCTGATTTGGAAGGACTCATGAAGCCACATATTTAAGGATATGAATACCAAAATATTCTTGTTAATTTCTGATGAGCAAGGTGTTATTTTTCTCTAAAGGAAAAATTATATTTGAGAAAATGGAGTTGTGATGACAGTTCTTGAACGAAACAAGATGTGAATCACCCAGATAGGGGTGAGGAGGTTGTGGGGAATGTAGGAAAATGGGTTTTCCAGAATGCTGGAAACCTGGCAACAGCAATGTTCTTTGGGTATACCTGACAGGGGACTCTGCTTTCTCCCCGAAGGAGAGTGAAGCCTAATATTTCCTTAAATTGTAGTTTTAGTTTTTCTAAAATGAAGAACTAAAGTATAAGAGCCTGACAGGGGACTCTGCTTTCTCCCCGAAGGAGAGTGCAGCCTAATATTTCCTTAAATTGTAGTTTTAGTTTTTCTAAAATGAAGAACTAAAGTATAAGACCCAAGTACAAAAAAAGCCTAAGTAGAACTACTGAGCCTGTCAGACCCTGAGAAATGCTTTCCTGCATGGCCTGGATTACCTACAGCTGCATGCATCCAGGCAGTTACATGTACAGTATATATTTTATATTCTTGACTAATTCAGTTGGGCTAATTAAAGGATTACTCAGGGTTCTCCAGAGCAACAGAGCCAAACTAATAGAAGATATATATGTATCTCCAATTAATAAATTATACCTATTTATTATTGTAATAGTATCTCCTATACAAATAAGTATATATTTATTATGGAAATTGGCTCACATGATTATGAAGACCAGGAAGTTCCACAATGGGCCATCTGCAAGCAGCCAGAGAACAAGGAAAGATGATGGTGTAATTCAGTCCAAGTCTGAAGGCCTGAGAACCAGGAGTGCCAGTGTCTGAAGGAGAAGATGGATGTTGCCAGCTCTGAAAGAGAGAGCAAATTCACCCCTCCTCTGCATTTTGTTCTATTCATGCCCTCAATGGATTGAATGATGCCCACCCACATTAGGTAGGGCCATCTGCTCTACTCAGTTTACCAGCTCAAATGCTAATCTCTTCCAGAAACACCCTCAGAAACACACCCAGAAATAATGTTTTACCAGCTATCTGGTCATCCCTTAGCCTAATCAAGTTGACACATAAAATTAACCATAACAGTGGATGTACTCCCTCATGTACACTCTTTTTCCCACCTGTCATAGTTCATTTGGGCTGCTGTAGCAAAATACCTTAGACTAGGTAACTTACAAACAACAGAAATTTATTACTCACAGTTCTGGAGCCTGGAAAGTCCAAGATCAAGGTACTGCTGGATTTGCTGTGTGGTGAGGTCTCTCTGGTTCATAGATGGCACCTTCTCACTAAGTCCTCAAAAGTTAGAAGGTGCAAACGAGCTCCTTCAGGACTCTTTAAGAAGGGTATTAATCCTATTATGAGGCTCTGCCCTCNGATGTTGCCAGCTCTGAAAGAGAGAGCAAATTCACCCCTCCTCTGCATTTTGTTCTATTCATGCCCTCAATGGATTGAATGATGCCCACCCACATTAGGTAGGGCCATCTGCTCTACTCAGTTTACCAGCTCAAATGCTAATCTCTTCCAGAAACACCCTCAGAAACACACCCAGAAATAATGTTTTACCAGCTATCTGGTCATCCCTTAGCCTAATCAAGTTGACACATAAAATTAACCATAACAGTGGATGTACTCCCTCATGTACACTCTTTTTCCCACCTGTCATAGTTCATTTGGGCTGCTGTAGCAAAATACCTTAGACTAGGTAACTTACAAACAACAGAAATTTATTACTCACAGTTCTGGAGCCTGGAAAGTCCAAGATCAAGGTACTGCTGGATTTGCTGTGTGGTGAGGTCTCTCTGGTTCATAGATGGCACCTTCTCACTAAGTCCTCAAAAGTTAGAAGGTGCAAACGAGCTCCTTCAGGACTCTTTAAGAAGGGTATTAATCCTATTATGAGGCTCTGCCCTCATGATCTAATCACCTCCAAAAGACCTCACCTCAATACTATTGCATTGGGGATTAGGTTTCAACATATGAATTTCAGGGAGACACAGACATTCAGACCATAGCACTACCACTCTATAATCCACCTGAAAAGTTGCACTTTCCTTGTAGCTTACAAATACTGAAAGCTTATCTTATATAAACAGATACAATCTACTCCTTAACTTTCATTTACCCAAGTAAGATGTTGATGAAATAGATATTATGTCTTTTTATTTCCCTGTACCTCAAGGTCTTATAAAAAGGATTTAAGTTAGAAAGTATATTATTTTTATGTTAGGTAATAAATTTTGATTTTCAGTGTTTCATCTGGTTGAATAATGTCTAAAAAATACTGTTATATATAGCTGAAAAATAACCCAGAACCTATAATTAATATGGAATCTCATAATTTACTCTTAATTTAGCAAATATAATTCATTTTAACTTTCCTAAATGATGGTCTTATTTAGAGACTGAAATGTCCCTATGAAATTTGTTTCTATTTTAAGACATAATAATTGCATAAACAATACACAATTTTAATGGTTAAGGTATATTTGTAGACAGAAATTTAAAGTATGAAAAGTACTTAATATTTAGAAGCTGGTCATATATTTTGTGCTTTATTTCTTTTTTTTTTTTTTTCCCTTTTTGTCTTTTTTCCTGACCGGTAACGGGATCGCAACCCTCGGTGTCGCGCCCGCACCGCACTCAGCCAGTGAGCAGGAACCGGTCTCCACATAGGATCCGAACCCTCAGCGGGAGCGCCACAACACTCTCAAGCGGCGCACTCTCCAGTGCACCACCGGGCCGGCCCAATGTGCTTTATTTCTTAAGTCTATTTTATTGACATGTATTTTAAGCATATAATTTACTTTTTATATTTTATTTTATTTTTCTTTTCTTCTAAGTAAAATGATTGGTAAGACTGTTGTGACATCATGGATATAACAGATTGATTAGACATCCAAGAGTTTCAAGACTGCTTAATTAAGGAGTAGCAATGATGTTTAAAATGTTACAATACCTTTCTCTATACTCTCTCTGGGTTTTCCAGGGCTGCCGCATAAAACTGCATAGCCTTTGTTGCCCACCTTTGTAGACCTGCTGCAAATGGTGCCCCCTGGAGAAGTGCACACAACAACCCTGGTGCTATACAATTTGATTTTGTAAGCTTTTTTGTCTTTTTCCTCTACAGAATCTGATTTGCTCTCTGGTACAATAAACTCAATGTTGTAACTGTAAGGGTACTGTAAATCATTTTGCAAAATATTTTGTGACTTATGGTAACATTTCTGAAATGAGCCAATGTGACCTTAGTAAATAACTGTGTTGTTCATAAGCTTCAAACTGTATGTCAGTTCCCATCTTTCTGCCCATCTCCACATAAGTAAATGTATTAATGATTTCAGTGAGAGAAAGTCTTTGCTATTCTTAATGATTGAATCTATTAAGCAAGGACAAACCTATTTAAATGCAGAAGCTTATTACATTTTAAAGGGGCATTTTAATAAACCATTGCATAAGGAATAGATTAGTGCATATAGGCCTAATCTGCTCTAACTATAACAGAAGAATAAAATGATTACATAATTAAAGGAAATGCATCCCATCTATAATTATGTACCATCATAACAAGAGCTATTCCAATGATCCACTCACTAAATTATATAATGTCCGTTATGCATATGATGCAGAAGGGCTGGGAAAAATCATAAACAAATTATAACATGCGATTTCTTTCCACAAGTAGTTTTCAATTTCCTTAGGTAACAATATACCAATGAAAAAAGCAGAGCAGACGAACGAGGTCAGATGAGTATAATGCAATATCTATTTCCAATTAGTGCCAAATAGGTGAGACGTGGAGAAGTCAGATGGGGGACGGTCATGAACATTTCTTCAAGAAAATTAAGTCTTAATGGGACTTTATACTCACATAATGGGAGGGTTAAGAAGAGGAGGGTATGTTTTCTAGGATTAAAAAATTACAATTCTAAATGAAAGAGGATTGAAATAAGAAAAATATTGATAACTTCTCTGAAGAGTTCATGGTAGACAAAGATTAAAAGAAGGAATGTAAGGGTAGTAATGAGGAGAACAGGAATAGCTGGTGAATGGCTGATGGCACGCCAGCCAACAGGACAGTCCCTTCTAAACGGCATTTCAGGAGATTCTAGATGGTCATGAAGTCACTGGCCACTTGTCTCTAACTTTAGTATTGAATATTATCGTGGGGCATTTTTGACTTCTGTTGACTGGCATGATTAAATTATAAAATGAGGCTTTTCAATTTACAAATAATGACAGGATTAAAGCATACAGTACTAGGAATCATAATTATTAATTTAATATTCAACAAATTTTTATACAAAACAGATGTTTTGGAATTATACATAAAAAAGAACTGTGCGATTTTGGAGTTAAAAAAAATTTTTAGTCTGTGTTTTTTTTTTCCTTTTTTGTCTTTTTTTACTGACTGGTAACGGGATCGCAACCCTCGGTGTCGCGCCCGTACCGCGCTCAGCCAGTGAGCGGGAACCGGTCTCCACATGGGATCCGAACCCTCAGCGGGAGCGCCGCCACACTCCCAAGCGGCGCACTCTCCAGTGCGCCACCAGGCCGGCCCTAGTCTGTGTTTTTGAAGTCATCTTTATTTTATATTTAGATTAATAAATCTAAATCAGAATTATTACAATTATAGTGAGATAATATTAAGCTCCCCCCCCAAAAAAAAATTTAAGTAAATGGATCTTTAAGACTTTCTATGTCCTCAAGACTAGATACAAGAAGAAATAGATACAATAGTGAAATTGACAAGAGACCATTGAAAGTGTCAGAAACTAAA